TTTGAGATGAAAATCTCAAATCCCCACTGAAAGAAAAGTGTTCCGAATCCGACGATACTCCTAGGTTATGTCGGGGACAACGAGGGAAGCAACTTTAACCTTTGAGGTACCATGAAAATCCAAACTTGAACTTGAAACCCAAACTAAAAAATGGTTAGAAATGTGTTCTAATAAGGTGGAAATGTAGAACACATCGAGGCCTACGATAAACGTTAAGGCGAAAGACTTTTTACAAAGGAAATCAATTGGAGGAGAAGAAGAAAAGGTGGCAGCCCAAGGAGCTTCCATGGCTACTGGCCAAAGAGGGAGGAAGATGATGGAAAAAGTAATTTTTCACTTTAAGACTTTCTATTTATAGAAAAACCCTAAAAGTACCCCGAAAGGGTCCCGCCGGGTCCGGAAAAGTGAAATTTAAGCAGACGCACTCAAACGGTGAAATTCTGTGAACAAAAAAAAACCGAAATGAGAAAATATGAACAATGAAAGAAACGGCATCAAAAATCAAGTCCCGAGCAGAGAGATATGCCTCAAACAAGTTCGACGGCAACTAGGGTCAGAAATCCCTAAAACTGGGGAAAACGTCCTAGAGGAAATTCTAAGAGTTCACGACTCGACGAAAAGTAAAAATGAATCCCGTACGAGGATCCAGGCTCAAAACGAGGTATTTTGCAATAACTTTCGTTAATTGCACAATGGCCCCTCCAAAGTTAACTGCACTAATGACCCAGAATAAAAATATCTTCTAAAAATATTTTCTTACAAACCCCTGAAATAAAATATCTTCCAAAAGATATTTATGAAAAACACCCCAAGAAAAAGAAAAAGTTTCTAAACAACTGTGTATCCATGCCTCTATGGGTACCGGGAGCAACCAGAGTACTTTTTTTACAAAAGTAAAGATACGTATTTCATGAAAACCACTTAGGATGAAGGTACGTGAAGTCAAAAACCAACTCTGAGCATGAAAAGTAAGGTTGTGACAAATGGGGAAAAGACGAAATAGGGAAAAGGACGAAAAGTGAATAGTGTTCAAAAAGTGAAAATGTGGAAATGACTCGGTGCTTAATGGAAGTTGTCAATCCAAACGAAAGAGTCTCGGAAACCAATTCCAAGCACTCGAGACGACGCTAAGTGACAAAACAGAACTCGGAAAAGGAAATTAAACGAAAAAAATTTATCCGTAAAATTTGAGAAAAAAGGAAAGGGAGGAAAATGACCGGGTCATCACAGGCCACCCTTGGGAAATTAAAAAATCTAGGGATTTTGGGGCTTTTCTCATTTATTGAGGTAGGGGTGCTCTAATTCATGTTTTATTTGATCTTTTGTGAGTTTCCCCTTTTTTTTTTTTTTTTTTATTCTAAGCATGTCTAATTTTTTTAGCAATTTTGTCTATGTTGTTGTGGTTGTATGTGTTTAAGGTGATCGATGTATTATATGTGTTAATTGAGCTCATGATTATGATTATATACTTGGTAGTGAAGATACATGCTTAGTATTGATATTTTAGATGCCCTATGATTTTCAATTTGCTAAGAAATGTGATGTTGAAATTATGAAAGTAAATGTCAGAATTTTCTTTAATAATGTGATTATGATGTAGATGGAATGCATGGAATTTAGTTGTTGAATTTGGTATTTGGGAGCATGAAGCATTCATACATTCATTGGGGAAAGTAAAAGGGAAAAGTTTGTTTTAAAAACAAATGAAATTGTTTTTGGAAAAAAGTTTTTGGAAAAGTGTTTGTGAAAAACCGGACGACTAGGAGGCGCCTAGTGGTTCGTGGTGTTAGTGTGGTCTAGAGGGGACTAGGGAGAGACCCTAGTGTGGTTAAGCTAATTAGGCCGGATACGACGCCTTGGAGGTGCCTTGTGGTTGTGGATGGTTAGCCAATCCTTCCTTCGTCATACCTTGGAGGCGCCTCGGGTCGGATCACACTAACGGTTTGGAAGGTGAAACGGAGTTGTTTCGGAAATGGGGAGCGACATTGCACTTCATTGGCACATATGATGTATTTGTGACTTGGATGACACTTGCATATATTTTTGACGTTGTGATTATGGATTGCATCCCCGGTATAGTATGATCCCGTTTTCTTGATTTTTATTCTATATGTGGATTCACGGGGTCATAAGAGGTGTATCTTAGACACTTCTTACTGAGCATTTAACTCACCTCATTATTTAACATTTTTTAGATTTAGGAAAAGAAGTGGCAGGTGATGTTCCACCATAGCTCTAGCTTGGATTATGGGATCATTTTTTTATTTTGTACATAATCCACATGAACCTAGTGAACTACAACTTGTTGTAATTAGTAATGAGACTCACGGATGCTAGTAGTTGTATTTTGTTGCATAAATTGCAAACTTGATGTATCTATGGTAAAATTCATGTAAATGACTTTGTAACTATGTAAATGACATGTAAATTTTATATTTTGAATGTATGGGTTATGATTCATCATTTTACAGTACCTTGGGAGGGGATTGGATCAGTTTCAAGGTCTCCATTAAGACCATTTTTTCATTTCCCTGTATGTAGCAGTTTTCTACAGATTTTACAACTCGCAGGGCCATTTCGGCCGACTGAAATGGGTACTTCAATCGGTCGATAATTCCAGTAAGTTCAGATACTGTTGGGGTCACAACCGGATGACCGAAATGGCCATTTCGGTCGACCGGTTCAGGGGCCATTTCGGCCAACCGAAGCTCCATTTCGATCGATCGAAATGGTACTACATTGTGCACTTGGTTTCCTTATTTGGTTTAAGTAACCACGAGCCTTGGAAATTTGATTAAAGCCTTCTTGGAGTTTATTTAGAATGCAAGGAGGATGCATGAACACTAGATATGATGTGGCATTGACTTAGGTGACCTCGGGTTCGGGCAAGGATCCGGTTAGCGGTTCGGACCTACGGGTTCGGGTCGTTACAAATATTCTAACATATTTAGATGGAACAACAGAATTAATAATTGCATATAAAGCTTTTACATTAGCATCATTATGCTCAGTTTCAACAGTATAAAAGCAAAGCCATCTTTTAAAACTTTTTCTACTTTACCATCCACAGTTTTATCTTTTGTAGGTGGTGTACAGCCAGATTCAACAATAGTTCAAGTTTTATCTCTTGAATTTTGCAAATAAGCTCTTATCTTTAATTTCTAAAAATTATAATTATTTTCCTCAAATAAAGGACCACGTTGATTAAAACCACCTTCTTTCAATGCATAAGATATAGTGAAAAACAAATTTTTTAAAATCAATGAAAACTTTCCACAAGGATCAACTCAATGTGTAGATATTAGCTCTAATACCAATTTGTGAGTCGCACGTAGCGGAATATTTAGAAAGTTTTGTATTTTTAGAAACAGATCTGTGTCTTTCTAATTCTACTTGTTTTAGCAATTAAATAATTAATCTCATGCATGATAAAATAAAACAAAGTAAATAGTTAAAGATGACACCAGGATTTTTAGCGAGGAAGCCCTAGTTCATAAAATAAGTCAATTGTTTGCGTAGGAAAAACCTTGTAGACTGTGCAGTCCAAAGTAAACCGATTCACTATGTATGAAACAAGTACACTGAACTTTGACTCAGGCTCACACCCAATCGTTCTACCAAACACCAATAGTTGACAATCCTCTGGGTTTGCCACATCCCGTCCAACAGTAACTTGACCTCAGAACAATCAAAATCAAAACAATGAATTGTTTGGTAAGAACTCTAACGAATGTACGTCATATTCCAAGTGTTAGAAGCAATGTGATCTCTGTATTAGCATTGGATTCCAATGGTTGTTGGTGTGAAGTGAAGAATAGATTAATAAATATTAGAAGGGGACCACGTGTCATGCTTTTGGGAAGGAAAGTCAATAATCTCTATATTTTATTGGGAAATGCTATGTTAGGTGGAGCAATTGCAAAGACAGTATGGAAGGCTGTTTCGAGATCTACTAGATTAGAGGATCAAGAGAAGTAAGAAGTCTTGGTAATTGCAAAAGCACCAACATTTATTCCAGGAGCAAGAAAAGTTCGATTTAGTGATGCGAAAGTAAATTCCAGGTTCAATTATTTGAAGTTGGAATTTGCTAGGAATAGATGAGTATGGCGGAATGGTGGAGAATGACAAGAAGAAATTAATAAGATGCTAGGTTTAAGGTGAAGAGATCTTCAGTCAAGGTGGAGCTATGGAGGAGTACGTGAAGACAAATTCTGAGCCAATGTGGAGAATGTTGGGTTTGTGACTCAAAATTGCATAAATTAGTTTCCTTTTCCGTTTTGGAAGACTAAAATTTATGAAAGAAATTGTGTCTCAATATGATTCTATTTTAGAGTTGAGATTAATTTGGTAACTACTTGTAGGTAAGTAGTATAATTCTTGTCTAACAAGGAATTGGGTTTGGAAGACTCTATAAATAAAGATTGGTTTGAGTAGAGATGTATAGTGAGAAATGAAATAATTGTAGAGCGAGAAAAAGTGAGTTGAGTTTGTGAGAAGAGAAAAGGTGTGTAATCAAAATTTGAAATAAAGATAGTTATACGTTCTTCGCTCGTGGATGTAGGGAATTTGTTAAACCACATAAATCTCATTTTGCTTGTGTGTGTGCTTTTATCTATTTTATTTGCTAATTGTGTCTGCAGTCACCGGGTAAATTTAAAAAAAAAAAAAAAGTGAAGAAAACCTCTTAATATTCCATAACCATTGTAGCAGATCCAATATTCAGTAGGATACATGGTCATAACATCTGACAAAATGAAGACAAATTCAATATATATATTTATTTATTTTTATTTAGAACTCTTCCAAAATTGATCAAAGTGAAGAACTTTTTCAACTGAATTCAAATTAGGTGCAAATTAATTTCAAAATTTGCAATTTATCACAAACTTTAATCTGAAAATTACTAATTAAGGGTTTATAGTTGTTCAAGGCTCCTACACTTTCCGCCTCCATGTGATTGTTCCGTTGATGCAATCAATCTAGTTTTGATCGGAAATTTTCTATCATGACTATGACAATTTAACTGATGAAAAGTGTCCCAACAATATGGACTCAACAAAAAAAATTATCCAATTAAATGTTCCGGCAACAATGACATTTTGGATCTAACAAAATCAATCTTCAAATGCTGACCTATCACATGGAAACCATATAGGAGTTCTAGTAATGTGATAATACATGCATATTCAGTACATACATCAAGCAATCTAACACAAACAACAACTTTAATCATCACGTCCAAAAATTTCTCTCCAACACTGCAATCTCCTTCGATGTGTTTATTGAGGAACAACCACCATCTCATATGTGGAAAGAGTGTGCTCCTCATAAGACCAGTAATGGCTTGTTCCTGCTGCTGCATCATTACATTTTCTTTTACCCTTCTCTCTCGCATGGCTGAATCCTGCCTCATCATCATCATCATCATTGTCATCGCGTTTTCTTTTACCTTTCTCCCCCACATTGTCATCATCATCATTGTCGTCGAGTCTTCTCTTACCCTTTTGCTCTTCACATAGGTGTTCTTCATGGACAACCATGACACAATCATTACCAGATGAAGAATTGAACTCATTCACTTCTTCTTCGTCAGTGTCCATTTTGGTACACTTCTTAGCTTCAAAATACACCGGGATGACTCCACATTTCTTCACAATAAGCCCACAACCAGTATCTATTTCAATTTCCACTTCATCTCCACTATCCACCTCAAATTCTCCAAGGGGTACATATCCCAATGATAGGTGGTCATGCAGGGTTGGGAATGCAGCATAAACTGGATAACGGATACATGTAGCACGAAAATCCTTGGTTACATTAGTAACATAAACAGTATATTCTGTTGCCGCGCTGGTTCTGATTTCAAATTCATGTGCTGCAAATATAACACATAAAACGAAGCCTTTCATCATACTCATACCTTGAGGCACTTGAATTGACAATACATTACCCCTCCTCTGACTACTGAACCAATCAGGAATTTCAGACCAGGTGAATAAAATGTCATCGCATTCATTACCCCCATATCTTCCATACCATATCTGTACAATTGGAAGGATAATGTGTAAGCTAGAGACATGCACAGAAACACACACACATGTATATACATTAAGAAAGAAAGAGAGAGAGAGAGAGACCTGTAGGACACTTTCCGTGCAAGGGAACTGGACTAGTTTGCTGCAATTGCATAGACACATCAATGGGGGGTGTGAGAAGTTTGATAGATCCGACAATCTTTCCAATGATGAATCTGGAGCAAGTAGAATGGTCAAACTTGATGGAAGCTCTGGAAGTGATCCAAGATTTCTACAACGGTTCAAAAAGAGGCTTTTAAGCTTACAAAGTTTCTTGATGCTAGCTGGTAGACTGTAAAAATCGTCATCAGCTAAATACAAATGTTTTAACGAAGATAGACTCCCAACGTCGTTTGGAACTGCTGGTACATTATCGAGGTCCAATCTGGTTATTTTTTTGCCGAGACCCATGATGAAAAGAGTGAAAGCAATGACATGGATGGTGATCGTGTACTGCCACATAGAGACAAATACCGAAGCTTCTTTAAACGCACCATTGAAACTGGTACTTGTCTTATTGCAGTTCCAGAAGCAGAAATCACCACTAACGATTCCATTTCCCCAATCTCCTCTGGCAATTCGTCAAATTTCAAACATCCAGATATCCGAAGAAATTTAAGAGATTTCAACATACAGATGCTCCTTGGAAGATTCCTGAGGTTTGCACAATCTTTCAGGTTTAGGGAACAGAGTTTATCTAGACTTCCAATGGATTCGTCAATCACTTTCAAACTTCTACAATCTTTCAGTACCATTTTCTCAAGGTTTGGGAGTGTTGAGAAGTCGGTAGTGATTCTGGTTAGGAGGTGGGAATGACTTAGATTAAGGATTTTCAACTTGTCAAAAACCTGTTGAAAGAAATTTAGAGCATATATTAGTTCAAAGTGAAATATACCTTGTTATTCAAACAGAAAAAGAAAAAATTAGTTCATTCAAAGTGCTAATTATACCTTGTTATCCTTCCAAACTTGTCTCAGGTTGCTATGTTGCATGTCAATGACAATTAATTTCTGTTGATTGAAATTAATTGGTATAGAATTCAGAGGGAATCTATGCCAATATAACCATCTCAAATTTTTAGAAAGATGTTCATAGCCTCCAGTGACAATCTTACATTATTTAGTTGTAGCAATCTTAGATTGTGCATCCCCGCAAATGCTATAGCACTCAAAACAACTTTATTTGGTCCATCCATATTTAAGGCAAGGCCTTCGATTTGATCTGTTCCCTGATAAAACATGTGAAGCTTAAGTATTTATATATGTTTGTGCAAGTGAAAGGAAATTGACAAAACCATAACCATTAATGTTTATATAATTAGAATTGCATTGGTTTCTTCACTTCAACAAGAATTCTTGAAAACAAATTCGTTCAGTTGAAGTCTTACCGTACAATTTGTTAGAACATCAAGAGCATCTTCCCAATGCCACAATCTGCTATGTTGTCCAGGATTGTGAACAGATTCTTGGCAAACAATTTCCCTTCCCATGTCTCTAATCAGATCATGCATCATAAGCTCACCTTTGTTTATTGTTAAAAGGCACCTACGAGTGAGGACACCAATACCGCTTGTTGCGTAAAAACCACAGCCATCTAGTATTTTTGTGACGTAGTATTTACCCATTCCAATAAAGAAACAAGCAATATCAAGGAATATCTTTTTTTCATAATCATCCAATGCATCAAAGCTGATTTTAAGCTTCTTTTGAATTTTAGCATGAGGGTTTTTTCTCAATTTCTCCACTGTATTTTCCCATTCAGCTATGCTTTTAAACTCTCTCAGACATGAACCCAAAACTTCAAGGGCTAAGGGCAATCCGTTGCAGTAGCGTGCTATATCTTTTGAGAGCTGAGCATAATCTTCCAAAGGATCAGTTCTCTCAAAGGCATGCAAACTAAAGATTTGGTATCAGAGCCTACCTCGAATCTGGACCACTGTAAGTTTTATGTAATAAAGTTTTCAGTATCTACGTTGTGCTTATGTTATATATCTCTTATGTTTGAATACTGTTGCAAGCCCATATTATCCTGTCTTTGCTTATATGTCAGAGTCTGTATGACCTTTGTGACAATTATTAAGCTGTTTACAGGAACCCTTGGTTTTAGGCACCAGAACAGATTTCAAACCATCTGAGACTCTATCACTATGGCACAAAATAGCCGGTCATGATATCGATAACTATCGCCATATCTCCCATTTTACTACTACAGAACCTGTTTCGTTTACACAAGTAGGGGCAGGAATCAACTTTCTTGTTGACATGGTTACAGACTGGAAAATCGATTTCCAGCACAATTTAGAGGCAACCAACACCCATATGGCTTCCTCTTTTGAAGATGTCCAACAAGGAATGATCTCCTTGAATGACAAACTCGAAACTCTTACCCAGATTTTCACCCTTTCATCTACCCCTGATGCAGCTCTTCAGGAACAAATAAATCAAATGACTATCGATTTAGCCAAACTTCAAAAAGCTAAAATGTCTGATTTATATCCACCAGATCCACCAGATCCTCCATCACAGGATTTGGCTCTTCCCTCCGACGATACCTTTCCACCAGTTAACCCTTCTGTTGGAAAACCTACCCGTTACAAGGTTAAACCTTTGTTTTACGGACATGAAGACAAGGTTGAAATCCTTAAGGTCTTCTCTGAACCCTCTTCCTCTACTTATCGTCGAGATGATTATGAAAGCATCATAGATCAGCTCAATTGTTTACAAGCTTTATATGTCGACCCACAACTTACGTTCGACGAAAACGCTCATATCATTACTCGTATGCGCCAGATCTCATTACAAAATGAGAATCTACTTACGCACTTTGGTTACACACCAAACAACAGCTCAAGTTCCTCTGACGAAGAAAATACATCCGAAGACGAACAAATTTACGCCTTTTCTGATAAGTCAGACTCTTCTGAAGAACTCGATGAAACCATTGAGGCCGATCCTATTCCGACTTCCTCTTCCGATACAACCATCGAAGAAGCCCCCAAACCTACAAAAGGAAAAACCAAAAAACGTCAATCTGATACGATTCTCGACGAATCCTTCTATGGCGACTTTCCTACTGAAGATTTTCTCCCAGCCGAAGAAGTCTCTGGTTCAGGACAAAAGACTGACGAAGAAAAAGCCAAACCAGCTGAACCCAAAGTCTATACTTCCTCGTATAAATACGACTTTTCTACAGTCCCCACCTGGACAAGAAAAGATGACCTCAATAAGTTCCCCATTTCACAACATGGCACTTATTTAGATCTCACAAATGTTCCCTATAAAGACCATTTGAAAACTATAGACGAGTGGGCACAGTCCTTAGCCATTCTCGTCAATAACTACAAAGGAACCTGGGAACGTGACCGCTTCCTTGATTACCTTTCAGCAACCCTCCAAGGTGATGCTCTCGACTGGCTGCGACAATGGGATCAAACTCCTCAAGGCCAACGACAAAAGGATGCCCTCTTAAATAACTTCGATAAAATCGATGGTGTTTTACGGGGTTTTGTCAAAATCCTTAAAGAAGAATTGGTTGGGCATACCGGTGAGCAACTCCTCACGGATGATGCAACATGTGCTCTTTCGAAAATCGAATTATGCAACATTTGCCAATTTCCAGACTACGTCAAGTTATTTACCAAATACTTTCGTAGACTCCCACCAAATGCGATCGAACATTGGTTACCCCAATTCTTTCACAAACTTCCAAATCCCTGGGATGAACTTGCAGCAAAAGGATATCCCGATTTCCTTGTTCGCATCCAAAAACCTGATAACATCGGTTTCCGAACAAATTTTGTCTATCGTCTCATCAATGAAAAATGTCTTGAGACCAAAGCCAAAAAACAGGTAAAAAACCAGATCAATGGCACTGCTGAAGGACAACGTTGTTGCGACAAGATTCTCCAGGAAACCTGGAAAATCGGTTGTGCTCCCTATAAGGCTACTCCTAGACGCGCCCAACGCAAAACCTTTCGTTGGAAAAAATGGAAAGGACGGCGCCCTAAAGCCTCCAAGAAGTATGTTACACAAGCTGCTTCTCCAAAACCCACACCAGGGAAAAAGAAAAAAGGACACAAAAAATCCTCCAAAGCTTCAAAATCCATTGAAACAAAAAAGGATTGTAAATGATATATTTGCAATGAAGCTGGTCATTATGCCACTAACTGCCCCCAAAAAGGCAAGAAGGCTTCAAAAATGGTTAAACAATTACAGACAGATAACCTCTGTGTTGTCTATGGTAGCGACATCACCGATCCCTCTACCATCCTGTATGAACTCTCCAGTAGTGTTTATACCAGTAACTCGTCTAGTACCACCCCCAGCGATACAAACGACGAGGCAACAGATATTGAAAATATCTGCATGATGAACGTTACTCCTTCCCTCCCAGAAGAGAACACGAACATCAAACTTAGTGACATCATTGGAGATGAAGTTCAGTTCACAAACGAACAACTGATTCAGTTCGATAAACTCCAACGGATCAAAAAAGAAGAAGTCTACAAAACTTCACGATTTGCCATCTTTTCCAAACGAATTTTAGAACAATTCAGTGGAAATACAACAATTGACTATACAGCAAATGGTCAATGTGGTTTTAATATCCTCAGCAAGGATAAGATTGAGCGCTGGAAACAACAAAATCCTATCGCTCGTTATATTCATATTGGACTAGTGCAAATCAAGATCACTTCGCTGTTTCGACGTGGCACTGATCAACCACTCATTGCACTCCTCATGGACAATCGTTTTCATAAACCCGTTGATGCACTTATTGGCGGTGTTCAATCGAATTTGGTTAACAACCTCATCTGGTTTAAAATCAAACCAAATTTTTTCATTTCACTGACAGACCCAAACATCGAAAAGGTCCTCCAAGTTAAACTCCAATTGTCCAAACTACAAATGGATTGTGATTCCCCTAGCCTTGGAATCCAGTGGAAAGTGCTCTATGAACTCACTAGAGAACCCGAAACTGCTACCGTTCCTACACTTGACTCAAAACTAGTCACCTTGTTTGAACCGCGACCTTTTGATACCATAATTGAGCCTAAACTTCTCAATTGGACAGATCTTGAGATCCCTAAAACTTGGTTATTTGATAACATCAATTCTGTACCCAAGTTACGTATCACAGAACCCACTGTGGCTACAATACACGCCTCCGGCTCCAATCTTTATATTATAAATAAAGCAAAACCGCCTCAGCTACAACGCTCTGTTTGTGACAGTCATTCCAGGTTTCATAGATACCAGGCTGGTGACCCGCAAAAACCACAAACCATTTGTTTGGTTGTGATGGAGTTGGCTTGGATATAGCTTTTTTAGCTATGGTAATCCAACCTTCTGTATCTGTAAGTTGATCAGCCATCTGTATGCATAGGGAGAGATAAATCTTTGTTAGATGTCTCTGGGAATCTGCTCAGGAAATCTGCAAGAAAATTATTAGTGCCTTTGATATGTTCAATAGCAAATGAATATTGAGCAATGACATTATACCATTTCAAGCGGCGACCGTCTAAGCAATTTCTTTTATTGATCAGAAAATCTTTAACGGCTTGGTTATCCGTTCGAATAATAAAATCTTCTGGAGCGAGATAAATATGAAAATGTTTGATTGCCAATTTTATTGCCAGAAGTTCTTTTTCATAAATAATATAATTCTGTTCATTTGGTTTAAATTTTCCAGAATTATAACCGCAAATTAACTCTTCTTTTTAAAGGCGTTTGGAGATGGGAGCCTTTCGAGCTCGGATCATGGGATACGATGGGGTGTCATCAATCCATTGTTCTTGAGGAATTGCTTTTAAGACACATCCCCAACAGAGCTCGGAGGCATCTGTTTAAAGAATAAGTTTATCTCCTGTTTGGGGAAAATAGACTTCAGGGATATGGACCAGATCAGCTTTGATCTGTTGGATAATGGTGGTGTCATTATCAGTCCAATCAAAAGGGACATTTTTCTGTAGCTTCTTTAATAAAAGGAGTTCCTTTTGAGCTAACCCTTTAATAAAAGAGCGGCCATAATTCAAGATTCCCAAAAAACTTTGAAGTTGCTTTTTATCTTGAATAGTGTCAGGGAAATCACGAATCTTAATGATTATATGATCCTGTAGTTTTATACCTTTGTGAGTTAAAACTAATCCCAGAAAATCAATAGATTCTTGTTCAACATCTATCTTGGTTGGAGATAGAATGATGCCGTACTTTTTCAGTTTTTCGGAAAGACAGAGTAGATGTTTTTTATGCTCATCTCTTGTTTTAGAGAAAACTAAAATATCATCTATGTAAACAACAACAAAATCTTTAAGATCATTAAAGATAGAATCCATCCAACGCTGATAGATTTGAGGTGCTGTGTTAAGACCAAAGGGCATAACGGTCCATTGGTAGTGGCCGTGAGGAGTGCTGAATGCCGTGAGCGGTTTGGAATTCTTTCGCAGTTTGATCTGCCAAAAGCCTGCTTTACAATCAAACTTACTAAAGATGGTGGATCCTCGCGTTTGATTAATGAGTACATCTTTGCGTGGGATAAAATACCCATCGAAAATGAGATGTTCATTGAGCCTTTTATAGTTGATAACCATGCGGGCTTTTCCACGTTTAACTTCACTATGGTTTCTAACCATAAAAGCAGGGCTGCTGTGTGGACTGCGAGTATGCTCAATGAGTTTTTTCTCAAGGAGGTCTTGAAGTTGTGCATCAAATTCATCAATGTCGCGGCGTAGATAGATCATTGGTTTAACCTTAATGATGACATTGCGATTTTTGAGTTGCAGTCGACAGAAACGAGGACTTCTTTTCCACAGGGTAAGTGGATTTTCAGCGAAGTTTTGCCGAAGTGAGTTGTAGAGCCAATGGGTGTCTTGTAGCACCAATAAGTCTGAGTCTCTTTTGGGTGGAGAGAACTTTTCATTACAAACAGAGGCTAAATTTTCCTGAATAGGGATTTCAACGACTGTTTGATCTTTCAGTGTTAACGAAATGGTTTTTTCGTTTAACTGTAAAGGAAGATAACTATAGATAAAGTCACATCCTAAAATGAAATCACCGTGCATGTATGGAAAACACAGGATTTTTGGGATAATGAATTTTTTATCATTAAGCCAAATTGCTACGTCTTTTGCTTTAAACTGAATCACATTTAAGGGTGCTTCAGCATCAATGCCCTGAACGCCAATGGGGTGTTTCATTTGCTGCCATTTTTCAGATGGCAGAGCATTATATCGGCAACAACTGGTGGTTGCACCTGTATCGATTAAAACACAAAGGTTATAGGGTTTATATCCTTTGAAGTTGAGAATGCCGTTAACATAAGTATACTTTCGCTTTTTGCCTTGCGAAGGAGCAATTAAAAATTCATCTTTTCCGGTGCGGAAATGGAAGAATTTTGCAGAGTTAAGTTTATGAGTTGATCCAGGCAAAAAGGGAGCATCATGAGGATCGACAGGAGCTTTGCCTTTTTCTGTCCAAGTAAAACGTCGTCGAGGAGGTACCTCTGCTGACTTTCGTGGGGGAAGGATTCTTTCCCATCCAGGATTTCTCTCAGATACAGAGCGTTGTAGCTGAGGCAGTTTTGCTTTATTTGTAATATAAAGATTGGAGCCGGAGGCGTGTATTGTAGCCACAGTGGGTTCTGTGATACGTAACTTGGGTACAGAATTGATGTTATCAAATAACCAAATTTTAGGGATCTGAAGATCTGTCCAATTGAGAAGTTTAGGCTCAATTATGGTATCAAAAGGTCGCGGTTCAAACAAGGTGACTAGTTTTGAGTCAAGTATAGGAACGGTAGCAGTTTCGGGTTCTCTAGTGAGTTCATAGAGCACTTTCCACTGGATTCCAAGGCTAGGGGAATCATAATCCATTTGTAGTTTGGACAATTGGAGTTTAACTTGGAGGACCTTTTCGATGTTTGGGTCCGTCAGTGAAATGAAAAAATTTGGTTTGATTTTAAACCAGATGAGGTTGTTAACCAAATTCGATTGAACACTGCCAATAAGTGCATCAACGGGTTTATGAAAACGATTGTCCATGAGGAGTGCAATGAGTGGTTGATCAGTGCCACGTCGAAACAGCGAAGTGATCTTGATTTGCACTAGTCCAATATGAATATAACGAGCGATAGGATTTTGTTGTTTCCAGCGCTCAATCTTATCCTTGCTGAGGATATTAAAACCACATTGACCATTTGCTGTATAGTCAATTGTTGTATTTCCACTGAATTGTTCTAAAATTCGTTTGGAAAAGATGGCAAATCGTGAAGTTTTGTAGACTTCTTCTTTTTTGATCCGTTAGAGTTTATCGAACTGAATCAGTTGTTCGCCTCGCGTTTGATTAATGAGTACATCTTTGCGTGGGATAAAATACCCATCGAAAATGAGATGTTCATTGAGCCTTTTATAGTTGATGACCATGCGGGCTTTTCCACGTTTAACTTCACTATGGTTTCTAACCATAAAAGCAGGGCTGCTGTGTGGACTGCGAGTACGCTCAATGAGTTTTTTTCTCAAGGAGGTCTTGAAGTTGTGCATCAAATTCATCAATGTCGCGGCGTAGATAGATCATTGGTTTAACCCTAATGATGACATTGCGATTTTTGAGTTGCAGTCGACAGAAACGAGGACTTCTTTTCCACTGGGTAAGTGGATTTTCAGCGAAGTTTTGCCGAAGTGAGTTGTAGAGCCAATGGGTGTCTTGTAGCACCAATAAGTCTGAGTCTCTTTTGGGTGGAGAGAACTTTTCATTACAAACAGAGGCTAAATTTTCCTGAATAGGGATTTCAACGACTGTTTGATCTTTCAGTGTTAACGAAATGGTTTTTTCGTTTAACTGTAAAGGAAGATAACTATAGATAAAGTTATATCCTAAAATGAAATCACCGTGCATGTATGGAAAACACAGGATTTTTGGGATAATGAATTTTTTATCATTAAGCCAAATTGCTACGTCTTTTGCTTTAAACTGAATCACATTTAAGGGTGCTTCAGCATCAATGCCCTGAACGCCAATGGGGTGTTTCATTTGCTGCCATTTTTCAGATGGCAGAGCATTATATCGGCAACAACTGGTGGTTGCACCTGTATCGATTAAAACACAAAGGCTATAGGGTTTATATCCTTTGAAGTTGAGAATGCCGTTAACATAAGTATACTTTCGCTTTTTGCCTTGCGAAGGAGCAATTAAAAATTCATCTTTTCCGGTGCGGAAATGGAAGAATTTTGCAGAGTTAAGTTTATGAGTTGATCTAGGCAAAAAGGGAGCATCATGAGGATCGACAGGAGTTTTGCCTTTTTCTGTCCAAGTAAAACGTCGTCGAGGAGGTACCTCTGCTGACTTTCGTGGAAAAAGGATTCTTTCCCATCCAGGATTTCTCTCAGATACAGAGCGTTGTAGCTGAGGCGGTTTTGCTTTATTTGTAATATAAAGATTGGAGCCGGAGGCGTGTATTGTAGCCACAGTGGGTTCTGTGATACGTAACTTGGGTACAGAATTGATGTTATCAAATAACCAAGTTTTAGGGATCTCAAGATCTGTCCAATTGAGAAGTTTAGGCTCAATTATGGTATCAAAAGGTCGCGGTTCAAACAAGGTGACTAGTTTTGAGTAAAGTGTAGGAACGGTAGCAGTTTCGGGTTCTCTAGTGAGTTCATAGAGCACTTTCCACTGGATTCCAAGGCTAGGGGAATCATAATCCATTTGTAGTTTAGACAATTGGAGTTTAACTTGGAGGACCTTTTCGATGTTTGGGTCCGTCAGTGAAATGAAAAAATTTGGTTTGATTTTAAACCAGATGAGGTTGTTAACCAAATTCGATTGAACACCGCCAATAAGTGCATCAACGGGTTTATGAAAACGATTGTCCATGAGGAGTGCAATGAGTGGTTGATCAGTGCCACGTCGAAACAGCGAAGTGATCTTGATTTGCACTAGTCCAATATGAATATAACGAGCGATAGGATTTTGTTGTTTCCAGCGCTCAATCTTATCCTTGCTGAGGATATTAAAACCACATTGACCATTTGCTGTATAGTCAATTGTTGTATTTCCACTGAATTGTTCTAAAATTCGTTTGGAAAAGATGGCAAATCGTGAAGTTTTGTAGACTTCTTCTTTTTTGATCCGTTGGAGTTTATCGAACTGAATCAGTTGTTCGTTTGTGAACTGAACTTCTTCTCCAATGATGTCACTAAGTTTGATGTTCGTGTTCTCTTCTGGGAGGGAAGGAGTAACGTTCATCATGCAGATATTTTCAATATCTGTTGCCTCGTCGTTTGTATCGCTGGGGGTAGTACTAGACGAGTTACTGGTATAAACAC